GATACGTCCCATTTCTCCCCGATTCTGTCTCCTGTCTTACCATGGCAGTCACTAATCTGTTTCCTTGTTCTGAGTGTTTCATATAAATGGAACTGTATAACATGTCTTTAATGACTGGCTTTTTTCATTTATCATGTTTTCAAGGTTAATCTGTATTGTATCATGTGATAGTTCTTCATTACTTTTTATTGCCAAATACCCCATTGTATTAATCTAGCATATTTTATTTATCCATTCACCAATGTATAGACATTTGGATTGTTTTTACTTTTGGCTATTAAGAATACAAGTTTTGTGTGTACCAGTTTTTGCATGGACGTGTTTTTACTTCTGTAGGAGTGGAATTCCTGGGTCAAATGATAACTTTATGTTTAATCCTTTCGGGAATTGCCAGACCGTTGTCAGATCAGCCATGCATCATTTTAACATTCCTGCGAGCAATGTATGAGGATTTTAATTTATCAGTATCTTTGCCAAGACGTGTTATTATCTTTTTTATTATAGCCATCCTAGTGGGTGTGAAGGTAGTGTCTTGCGGTTTTGATTTGCATTTTACTGATGACTAATGATATTGAGCATCTTTTCATGTGTGAATATTTTTTAACCTTCTGTACATATAATGTGAACTATTTATTATTTTTTTTTAAAAGATTTTATTTATTTATTTGAGAGAGAGAGAATGAGAGAGAGCACGAGAGGGAAGAGGGTCAGAGGGAGAAGCAGACTCCCCGCTGAGCAGGGAGCCCGATGCGGGACTCGATCCCGGGACTCCAGGATCATGACCTGAGCCGAAGGCAGTCGCTTAACCAACTGAGCCACCCAGGCGCCCCATAATGTGAACTATTTAGAGTTATAAAGGTTTTTTCACTTGGAAAAGCATCGTTATTTAAATTTTGGTATGTTGATAAAGATGCAAATTTAAGTAGGACTTATGCAGTTGACCCTTGAACAGCGTGGGCATTAGAGGCGCTGACCCTCCATGCAGTTGAAAATCTGCAAATAACTTTGACTCGCCAAAAACTTAACTACTAGCCTACTGTTGACTGGAAGCCTTATGGATAATATAGTTAATTAGCACATATTTTGTATGTTACATGTATTATATGCTGTATTCTTATAATAAAGTAAGCTAGAGAAAATACATTTACAATGCCAAAAAAAAATCCCCTTCATAAGTGGACCTGCACAGTTCAAACCCATTTTGTTCAAGAGTCAGCTAAACTGTGAACATAATAGTAAAAATAAAAGAAAGTAGAGCTTGAAATCCGAATCTAGAGAAGGATCGGGGGGGAATTTTTTGAAAACCTATTCAGCAAAAGTAAGAGTGACAGTTATCCAAGTATAATCAAAAGGTATATGTAAAACAAGGTGGTGTGAATAAGACCAAATATAAATGATTACATTGAATAGAATTCTGTTAAGACTTTCAGATTGGAAACAATCTTTCAGATGGGAATAAATAATCTAGCTGTGTCTTACTTTGTGAGACAAAGCTCAAATAAGACATGACCAAGTAACGATGTAATATAGTCACAAAGAAAGCAAGAGTGGCAGTATTACTATCTATTAAAAATAGAATTTTGAAGTCAGAGCATGAAGAGGAGAGAAGGGTACAGGCCCAGTATGCATGAATTTTGTTGCCATGTTTTAGTTAAATAACACCAGTCCCCCAGTAACATGGTTCAAATTTCACATACCCTGGAATATTAACTGTAATTGCATAAACCACAAAATTTGCTGCTAGCTCTTCAGTCCACAAGTCAATATAAATAACAGATGCATAGCATGTCACTTTTTTCAAAGGCTCTTAGTGATTGGTCAGTGTGCATCTGTTTTTCTATTCATGCATAGATGACAGTGTGTAGTGGTGGTGGTGCATTTTTATCTCAATGATATACCCAGTCAGGTTACTTTTAAAAAACAATATAGGGGATTGGCCAACAAAGGTGAAAGTGCAGCAAAGAAACAAATTAATAACACTAGAAGTGAAATTTGAACTGAATGGAAGTGGAGTTACGGAATAAATAGCTAATCTTCAAATGTAGACATGCTGCATTTGGAGAGACTGCGTATGCAGCCAGAGGAACTTGGTGAAGGCAAGCTTAGCAACATAAATGAGGAAAGTGGTTGTAATACAAAGGATGAAGATGTCTCAGAGGAGGTGTTGCCAACAAAAAGCATTACAGATATTTCACAACATTCAAAGTGCAAAGGATAAAATGTTGGAAGCTGATCAGACTTAGGAGTATGACAGTTTGCCAAGGCATAGAAAATATGCTCACTCCATACATAAGTTACATGATCAGAAGAAAGTAAGCACTGTTTAAACTATTCTTCCTGAGTTACATTTTTTTTTTTACAAAGAAAAACACTTCAATCTCAATTTTTCTAATGTTTTACATTACAGTGTACTAAATATTTTATTTTTTTCATGTCTTTGTCAATAATAGAGTTTAATGTTTTGACAATTTCAAATTATGGAACGACCATAATTTTTCCCCTTGTTAATTTAGATTGCCTTGCTATGTCTTTTTTATTTATTTATTTAGATTTATTTATTTATGTGTGTGAATGGGGGAGGGGCAAAGGGAGAGAACCTTCAAGCAGAAACCCTGCTGAGTGTGGAGCCTGACAAGAGGGCTCAATCTCAGGACCCTAAGATCTTGACCTATCATGACCTTAGCTGAAACCAAGAGTCAGACACCTAACCAACTGAGCCATCCAGGGCCCTTTTGCTTGGTCATTTTTATAGTCTCATGCTGTCATGCAAAGTAACGACTATCTGTTTTAAGAAAAGAAAAATAACCCACGTAAAATGAACTGTCAAACCTTCATCACTAAATAACATCGTGAAAGAATCAGTCTTCTCTTTTGAATAGCTTTTAGGTTTAGAGTCATATCTAAAAATGCCCATGTTTGAAGTTTTAAAATACTTTTGTATAATTTTATTAAGTATTTAAGATCCCTTCCACTTTTGGAAGTTCTTGATGCCACAAATTTTGAGCCCATTGGGCATTTTGAACTGTAAGGGATGGTGCTGTGTTTGTACATTGCTGCTTAGTATCCAACCTTTTTTCAGTTTTCCTTCCAGCTTCTAGGTCTCTGATGGTATTGTGTTTCTTGTCCTCTTTGGCCTTATGAGTTGTTTTTGTGAGGTTTTACAAGAATTTGTGTTGAATTGGTTTGTTCTAACTAGAAGTATATTTGTTTTTGATGGATATTTAACTGAAGTTATTTACTTGGAATTTGAAACATTACGTAGGAAGAATTGTTTTACCGTTGTAACTAAATGTGTTAGTTTTTCTACCTTGAGATGATGGGTAGGAATGAATGATTCAGAAATTCAGCCTTTTACTAGGAATCGAATGATGATTTAAATGTGCTTTAATCAATGTGCAGTTAAAAGTACATGTATACAGTGAGAATTCCTAAATTACAGAATTTAAATTATAAAGCTGACTTTTATATGCACTGGTTATATTTAAATAGAGCTCTGAGTCTTTTTAATTAAAATTTTATCCTAAAGCCTTCTAAAATACTCTAACTGGAGTATAAACTGTAGTCATTAGGTCCTAATTCTTAAAGAATTTCACCAGATAAGGAATTTGTGATATATACCTAATTAATAATTTATAATCTTAAATCATAGCACATTTTAGAGGAAATGAGTAGTAGTCTGCTTTTCATTTTCCTTTTCCTTTGGAGAATACATGTATATCAAGCAGCATAACCAAAAACCTCATAGGTGTACAGTGCATCTTCCTTTATAGAATTGACAGACACCTGCAGGACCTACTGTTGTAAGAGATATAAAGTGTCTGTTCTGGAAAATATCTCCAATTACACACACCATTTAGTCTCATCATTCACAGATTCCATTTTTGTGAATTTGCCTGCTCACTAAAAATATACCCAAATCAGTACTCACTGTGCCTTCATGTGCAAGCAGAATGGCAAAAATTTTGAGTGATTTGATGCACACATTTCTAGCTGAGGCTGACCAGGGCAGTACTCTGCCTTCTTGTTTTTGCTCTTATACTATAAACTGTCCTTTTTGCAGTCCTAGGTAGTGCTATAGTTTTTTCATTTTTGTGTTTTTTTTTTTCTTGGTCATTTTGCACTTTGTTATAGCCCCCACATACAGTGCTGAAGTGCTATTTAGCGTTCCTAAGTGCCAGAAGGCAGTTTTGTGCTGTATAGAGAAATGTGCTGTATGTGTTAGATAAGTTGCTGACTGTGAGTTCAATGTGAATGAGTCCCTAACATATGTTAATGTGTCTTTAAACAGAACACACAAAAAACAAGATTATGTATCGATTGGTTGACGAAAATATGACCGACCAGAGGCTCACAGGAACCCTACCCTGTATTTTCCCTGGGGCAGTGGTGTGTTATTCACTAATACAGTATTTGTGGTGACTTTATAGGACATAACTACCACAAATACAAGACTGACTTTAATGAATATAGGAATGAACAAACGAACCAGTTATAACCTCTCATTGCTTCATTGAATAAAGTAAAATTCTTAACACACTTTATTCCAAAAACCTATGTATATATACATATAGTAATACACCTTAATGATAGTGTTTTGTGAGTTGTGTATTATACCAGATTACTTTGAAATAAAATTATATTTGGAGTGCATTTTAAATGGATTGATTAATGCAGTTGCATCACAGTTCATTTTGGGGCATTTTTTTATTATATACATAAAATTTAACCATTTTCAAGTGTACAATTCAGTGGCATTAAGTACATTCACATTGTGCAACTTGAGTTTTTTTAATATAGGACTGGATTCTAGGAGCTTGTGATTGAATTTAATAAAAGCATTTGAACTTAAATCTAATGAGTTATTTGTGTCTACCCTTTAAGATTTTTTAAATAAATTTTGGGTTAAGAATTGTTTATAATTGCATCATAGCATAATGCTATTTAATGACACATATTCGAAATTGCTTTGCACTCACATTTTTCTCCTTCTCCTTTTTTAGTGCTTTTTTAGGCCCAAAGGATATATTTCCTTACTCAGAAAATAAGGAAAAGTACGGCAAACCAAATAAACGAAAAGGCTTTAATGAAGGTTTATGGGAGATAGATAATAATCCGAAAGTGAAATTTTCAAGTCAACAGGTGCGTTACATTACATAAAATTTAGTATTATTCAGTCTTGGGGGATAATCACTATGCTAGCTGTAGGAAAGTAAATATTAAGAGCCTTGTGAATTTCAGATTAAATTGTGTTTACTTGTGAGGTTGAAACTTGATCTTTCGTAGCTAGATGAAATGATGAAAATATTCCCTGCCTGGTTAAACAGATCTCAGAAAACTGAGAAATACTCAGTTATCTAAGTCCTGATTGATAGTTTGATGTATCATTACATCATATGTACTGTTCTCTTAAATTCAGGTATTAACTCGAAGGATGTATGTTTTTTTCTTATTCATTTTAATTTCTAAATCCATAAAATTGTACTAAAATACAAACCTCACATGGGTTAAATTAAATATGTGACAGAAGTAGTTATAGCACAATGCAATTTATACTTAATGTTTTTGGTATCTAGAAGAGTAGCCTTAACCTTCCTTTTTATTGTTTTTCACGTGTTCAGAGTTTTGTTCATTTAAATTAGACTGAGGTGTAGGGGTACCTGACTGGTAGTCAGTAGAGCATGTGACTTTTGATCTTGGGGTTGTGAGTTCAAGCCCCACATTGGGTGTAGAGCTTGCTTAAAAAAATAAATTTAAATAAATTAGACTGAGGTAGTAAAAACTAAAGGAGTTAGCAGCAGACCAAAAATTCTACAACTTTCTACTTTGAAGTATTTTTTTTTCTTTTTTTCTTTTTTTTTTTTTTTTTTGCATGTGCCATGCTTTTTCTCACCTTTGAGAACTTTTCAGGTGCTATTCTCCCTGGAAGATTTAAATCTTATATTGATCCTCGCTGGCTGCATTAGATGACCCTAAATTACCACCCAAAACTTACTTGTTAATCATACCATATCATATTTACTTCTGTACTTAACTGCCACAGTTTTTATTAGCTCCATGAACAAAGAAGTTGTGTGTTGTATGTGCCTGTTACTGTTATATGTGTGGCAAGAATAGGTCTTCACTAAATATTTTTGCATGAATGTAAGGCTAGATGGTTTCCCATCATTGTTGCCTCAGTTGTATAATGGGAATCCAGAGAGACTGAATTCATTATTTCCTGAAGCCAACAGTTTGTAACTTCACTTGGATCATGTGTCCTGGGATTGTATCTTCAAGGACTTTTTTATCCTCCAGATAGCCCAGCATGGTCACCCTATCCTGTGTTCCTATGTACCTACTTAATCTCCAGGTAGTTTTTAGCATATATGCTTGGTATTTTCCATTTCACAATGAAATTTTTGGTAGGTTGTGTGCATGAAACCTAGCAATTTTCTGTCCTTAACAAAAGTATGAATGATTGTGCTGGTGTGATGTACTTTGTGTTCCAGCCCAGACGTCCCCAGTGGCACATTCCTAGGATTTGGAGAAAACAGTGAACCCTAAACATACAAAACAAAAAAATTGGCCATCATGATTTACAAAAATTTAAGTAATTTTGGGGGCATTTTTATATTTTTCTGTTGTGACTTAATAATTTTATGGGTTTTTACCAAAGAAGAAATGGGTTTATAGTTTAGACTTGAAATCATTAGGGGCACAGTTTGGACTGCAGTGCTGTCATCTTGTAGACCTGTGCTTACCTCCTCCCAGTATGTACTGTGTTACCTCTATTACTCATCTTTTTGGGCCCCTACTAGATCATCTGTGTATCTTATCATCTGGGGGGTACTTTTAAAATTTAATGATGATTGGTTCTCACCCCCACCCTGAACCCAGAGGAATGAATCACTGCCTGATTGAATTACCATCCACGAATATGGGGGGAAAAATGATGATTACTGGACTCCCACTTGGTGCCTTTTAAGTAAATAAGTATGAGATATAAATCTAAGTCTTTAAATAAAGCTGTTATATATGTCCTTTGCTAAGGCTCTGTGTCTTGGAGTAAGTTTCTCTTTAGAATATGTCAATAGTTGAATAAACAGTGCTATTCTAAATCAAGTTACATTATATCTTGTTGGATATTTATTGGTCAGAACATCAGAATGGTATTCTTTGTAATTATACTTCCATTTCTGCCTTAGAGTTTTATCCTTTACACTCTGTATACCTTTAATTATAGGACTACAATCTCTTTAAGACTTTAAAAAAATAGAATTTAAAACTTGTTTTTAAATTGTGTGTGTTAAAAAAACATGGAACACAAATGAGGGTAGTTTTGTAACTTGCAGATAGCCTTTGAATTTTTTCATGGGTAGAAAATTTTTAAATTGGGGTAAATTGTGGTTAATAGACCTGGTTGTTTATAGGCATCAACTAAACAATCAAATGCATCATCTGATGTTGAAGTTGAAGAAAAAGAAACAAGTATTTCAAAGGAAGATACTGACCATGAAGAAAAAGCCAGCAATGAGGTGTGTTTAATTTCTCTTGCATTCTAAACCCATTTTAAGGAAGAAATTGTAAGATGGGTTCGTCCTTTGATTGCTAAGTACAAAGTAATTTTTAAAGTAGTTGAGTAATGAATGAGAAAATATTTAAGGCTTATTTCCTTGTGTGAATATGAAATACTGTATTGTAAAATAATTTTTGCATTTTTAAGATGCATGATATTGGGGCACCTGGCTGGCTCAGTTGGTAGAGCATGTGACTCTTGATGTTGGGGTCATGAGTTCGAGCCCCATATGGGGAATAGAGATTACTTACAAAAAATTTTTTAAAAAGATGCATGGATGTTTTTATTTGAAGTTATTTTGCTCTGCAATGTATGAGGTCCACATATAGGAGAGTGGGTTACTATTTGTTAGGAATCTTTTTAAAGCAAGGTATTGTGGGATGGAGCTACTGGAAAGGGCACTGAACTGAATTTTTAAAAATCTAGATTTACTTCCATCTCTGAATTTGATTATTTCATTGAGCCTTTTCAGGCCTCATGGAATAGTTGTTAGATGATCTCCAAAGTCTCAGCCACTTCTTAAAATTTACAACCCTAAAATTCAGGATTCTACTGTAGAAAAAAAGTGGTTTTATAAATTTAAAAAGACAGACTTCCTTGTGTACTAGCAAGCATGAATTTTGTATTTCATCTGACGGAGGAAATAATTTTTTTTTTGGTAGACAAAGATGCTAGCTATTCCTTTCACTTTATAATGATAAGACTTCTAATGTTGATAATTTCAAACTTCAGAGAATTAAAACAAGTTTCTCTAGTGTCTTTAGTGAACTATGCCGTTATTTTAAAAGAAAAATTTTAAGTCTTGACATAATTTATTCAGTTTTGTGTGTGTGTATATATATTTTTTTCAATTTTAGGATGTGACTAAAGCAATTGACATAACCACTCCAAAAGCTGCCAGAAGAGGGAGAAAGAGAAAGGTAATGTTGTTGCTTAACCACAGGGATTGTAAAATAATTTTTGTTTTGGTCAGATTGAAGAAGACTAGAGATAATGAAACCTTATTAAATTTAAAGTTGGCCCTTTACTCCCAAGTCCTTAACTTTTTTTTTCTTTTTTTAAGATTTTATTTTTGTATTTGACAGAGAGACACAGCGAGAGAGGGAACACAAGCAGGGGGAGTGGGAGAGGGAGAAGCAGGCTTCCCGCTGAGCAGGGAGCCCGACGTGGGGCTGGATCCCAGGACCCTGGGATCATGACCTGAGCTGAAGGCAGGCGCTTAATGACTGAGCCACCCAGGTGCCCCCAAGTCCTTAACTTTTTTAAAGGATAGATTATGTTTATTTAGGAAAACTATCCATGTTTCTTTTCTAGTGATACAGCACCCTTAAGATATGTTGACTGGTAAAGGAAATGCATCAGCTTTCATTCCTTGTAATGCCACTTCCTCAAGTTGTCTTTGTAAAATGGATAATAATATATACTCATAAGGTTGTTGAGAGGATTAAATGAGTTACCACATTAAATATCCATAGTAAATCCTGGTACACAGTAATTGCTGTCCGTATTGTGCTTTCTAATGTTATTGGCATCATTGTTGCATTAAATGAGATTATGTGATATTTTAGGAGGAGGTACACCCTCTGCTTTTAATTAATGTTTCTCCCCTATATGTTTTGTTCATCACCTTTTTCTGACCTATTTATGTCTCAGACTATTATATGCCAAAGATTCAAGGAAAACTAAGGCTTCGGTATCTCATGAGGAAGTAAGATATGAAAACAAATAATTATAGTGGCTTTTTTTTTCCTGTGGGATGTGTATGGAAGGGGCTATGATAACTTTAACAAGATTTTAACATAGGGAGTCTTGTCCGGCAGATGAAGGAGGGAGGGGAAGAACATGTGAGGCAATTTGAATAGTATATACATAGGTGTAGAGAAAATTTTGTTTCAAGCATTGCGTCTCAGTATTAAAGTTTGAGGGAAAACGGTACAACACCTTAAACTTAACCTTGAACTTAGAGAAGTGATGGGAAGCCATTGGATCATTTTAAATTTCACGTGCATCGTTTTTTAAAGCCGTGTGAATGGTGGAGACTAGATTGGGGTGGTGAGACAAGTTCACAGATTAATTCATTCAGAATTTTAGTACTAACATGACTGGTGCAGGCAGAGCATGGAGCAGTGAATAAAGAAGATAAGGTCTCTGTTTTTGTTGGACTTACATTTTTGTGGGACAGACAGTAGATACATAAGAGTTAAAATGGGGCATTATGATAGTGACTTGGTGAACTAAGTCATGAAAGGCTTATCTAAGGAGTTAGCATGAGATTGGAAGGAAGGGACCTTCTAGCAGGTTTTTTAGTAGTGTAGAATCAGAGATAGGATTTAAGAGCGCTTCAGGGATAAAGCCGATGGTTGATTGGAAGTGGGTGTGAAGGGAGGGAGGGAATGTAGGGTGACTCCAAGGTTGGTTTGGTTTGGGAGCAGAGACATGGGGAGGAGAAAGTAAAACATCTAGGGGAATTAGACTGCAGGTATATTGTTTGAACATCAAAAGGGGAAAAGGTAAAAGTTAAAGATCTAGTCACTGATATAAAGATAGGACAGTAGGTGAGGTAGTCAAGGGAGAAAGTTTACTGGGAAGAATGCAGAAACCAGAATCCTGAGGGAACTTAACGGAGATGAGAGGTTGCTTTGTAAAGTTAAGGCTGAGAATGAACTATCAGGAGAAAAGAGAGGATGTCGGGAGAATTTTTTTTAAATGGCCAGTAGTGTCCTGATACGGAGAAGATCCTGGAAGGTATTTGACAGTTGGGCTCCCCCAGGATACTTTAAAGTCAGACAGTAGGGGCTAATGAAGGGGGTTGCAGAATAAAATGTTTAATGTTAGAGTTACACTGTTGTGAAATCTCAGAAGGGAAGGAGAGAGAACGCAGCAACAGGGCTTTGCATGGTTAAAGAAGACGGTTAAAAGTGAAAAAATATGATGGCTTTAACTGTTTCTTTGCAAAACTAGGAAAGATTTGAAGATGTGGAAAATATGGATAATTGTAGTAAGAAGATGCTGGATGGGGGGCACATTTGAAGGAAGAGACTTAACAGGAAGAAGGAGGTGGACATTTCATTCTTTTTAACACTAAAGAGAAGGATGGAGGAGGTTATTTAGAAGTTCTAGGGAGAATTGGGAATTAAGGGAGTTCCTTCCTGCTGGCCTCAGTCTCTCTTTTCTCCACCACCCAGTTCAAAGGAGGACTGTGTATATGATCTAAGGCGGGAAGAAAGGCTTGAAAGTTTATGCTGGTGAGGGGAGAAAAGGCACGCACAACAGGATAAAGATATTAATGGATGGCTTTGAGTTCCCAACTGAGATCGTGTAAAATGAATGTAGTAGTATCATTTTCACCCCCCTCAGGTCTCAGCAGCAGGGAATAATAGAGCAGAGAAGGTAGAGTTTTACAGTAATTCTCTGCTGGAGATTTGTGGGAAGGGTGCAGCCAAACAAGAATGCAGAGAGGACTTGAGGATATGCATATGAATAGTGTAGTCCCATGAGGTTTGGGGAGGGGTGCTTTAGGTAAGATCATGAAGGGAGTAGTGCTAGAAAGTGGGGTAATAAATGGGGAGTAGAGGTATCAAAGGCTTAGAGGCCTCAGGGAGATCAAGTAAAATATAGAAGAAATTTGTAGTCTATTTGCATTTAAGATTTAAATATGTGTATATTCGAAATAACTTAATAATTGTCTTTTCTCTGGAAGAAATACTTTATTTTCATGAGGAATGCTTTTGACTGATTTTTCTAACAGTCAAGAATACATATCCATGGGGAGGGCTGGTTTTTTGATGCAGTATTATATTTTTGTTTATGATGCTAATTATTGGTGAATTTGTTACCTCTTACTGGCATCTCCTCCAGAACATCCATTCTACCTTTAATTCTTATGTAATGTTTTGATTTACTTCCAAAAATAGAAAATGTAAATGAAGAGATGTATGGGGGTTTTTTTGTTTTGTTTTTTTTGCACTGAGGAGCTCATCAGTTTGAACTGAATCTTTTTTTTTAAAGATTTTTTTTTTATTTGACAGACACAGCAAGAGAGGGAACACAAGCAGGGGGAGTGGAGAGGGAGAAGCAGGCTTCCCGCTGAGCAGGGAGCCCGATGCGGGGCTCGATCCCAGGACCCAAGGACCATGACCTGAGCCGAAGGCAGATGTTTAACGACTGAGCCACCCAGGCACCCCAGTTGGAACTGAATCTTAGAGAACTTTGCCCTCATAAACACCTCAGTATGAAAAGAGCTGTCATACAGTCTTGGGTTCTCAACCTTTGGTACCTGGGGAACTTGGAAAAAACACATATTCCTGGCTCTCCACCAGGGGAGCTATTGAATCAAGATTTGTGCAGGAGTGGGGGTGGTATGGAAGTTCTTAAAAATTCTAGAAATACAAACTTAATGTTTAGCAGAGCAATTTTTGTAATGTTCCTTGCGAACAATTCAGGGGTGAACTTTGCTGAGTTTATTGACTTTTAATAATGCTTTGAATATGCATTATTATTTTCCAACTATAAAAGCAAAAATCATGTTTAAAGATTAAAAATGGATACATTCTTAGAAGTGGGATTGCTAAATCAAAAATTTGCATATTTTTAATTGCTGATATTCATAAAGATAATCTTGCAGAAAGGTGTTGCCAGCTTACTGATTATTGGTAATAATATGATTCTTCATTTCCTTACCAGTACTGGGCATTATCTCTTAAATGTTTGCAAATCAGATTGTTGATTAAAATAATCTTGCAGAAAGGTGTTGCCAGCTTACTGATTATTGGTAATAATATGATTCTTCATTTCCTTACCAGTACTGGGCATTATCTCTTAAATGTTTGCAAATCAGATTGTTGATTAAAAGATTTGTTAAGTTTTCAGGGCACCTGGGTGGCTCAGTTAAGTGTCTGCCATGGGCTCAGGTCATGATCTCGGTCCTGGGATGGAGCCCCCTGTCAGGCTTCCTGCTCAGCGAGGAGTCTGCTTCTCTCTCTGTCCCTTCCCCCCACTCACGCTCTCTTTCTCTCGGATAAATAAAATCTTTTAAAAAAAGATGTTTAAGTCTTTTATCAATAAGATTGGATTATGCATGTTTTTACATGCTTTATTGCCTTTATTTTTGTTGATCTAGTTAGTGCTGAATTGAAATAATTGGTCATAGGGAAGCAGCTTAGAGTGGTCCTCCCCTCCTCTTTCTTCCCTGTTTCTTTCCTCCCATTTCAGTTATGATCAGTTGTTTGCATTTCCCTTCTAATTGGGGGTTTTAACCTTTGTTCTACTCTACTGCTTTAATCAATTAAACTGACTCTCATTTGGGGCTCTTGTCTCTTCAGGGGTCATTTTAGTCTGCAGAGGGTCGGTGGAATTTATTACTTTACTGTAGTAAATCACTTTTTATGGAAAATAAGAACTCCTGGAGAAGAACAGCAGATGTCAGTCTTAGTTCAAAAATAAAACGTATATATTAACAGAGTAAAAGAGTAAGAAATATCTGCAACTTAATTTTTTGCCTTTACTAATATTAGAATATTAATTTAGGTTCTCATAAGTACAGAGTGTAAAGTGTTATTCGCATTTTGAGATACTTGGTGAAAGTACATTTATAAGCAACGTGTGGGTTAAGTGTAATTATACTTGGGTCACCATTTTGCATCAGGCATGTTAGCTCTATTTTTACAAATGATTTTTTTAGGCCGAGGATATCTAAGAAGTGATTTTTTTTGTTTTAGAATTATTTGCTAGAGGGGCGCCTGGGTGGCTCAGTCAGTTAAGTGGCCGCTCTTGATTTCAGCTCAGGTCATGATCTCAGGGTGTGGGATTGAGCCCCGCCCGCATCAGGCTCCACTCTCAGTGGGGAGCCTGCATAGGCTCCTAGGCTCATAGGATTCTCTCCTCCCTTTCTGCCCCTTCTCCTGCGCACTCTCTCTCTCAAATTTAAAAAAAAATTGTTCACTCTTATAAATTGTTATAAGCTGTGTTTGGGGATGTCACTCTGACAAGTTCACTATTGAGAAAGAATAACAATCATGTACAAGTTATGCTTATATGCAAACTCTTTAGGGTGGCATATCTTTGTTGAATTAAATTTGGAATGCTTACTATTTATTTGCTTAAGTAATAAGTTAATTAAGTTTTTGTGATTCAGGCAGAAAAACAAGTAGAAACCGAGGAGGCAGGAGTAGTGACAACAGCAACAGCATCTGTTAATCTAAAAGTGAGTCCTAAAAGAGGACGACCTGCAGGTATGATTATTATTGTTTAAATCTCTGAGTTGTGAATAATACTCCCATTACAGTGTTGTGCCTTGGATACTTTGGAATAGGTGGCTAGGCAATTGATTATGTATTTTTTATATATATATATATATATATATAAAACAAATTTCAGAGGAGATAAACATGGTGGTTTCTGCTTTATGTGATAAAGTATTTTAGATTTAAAGTAATTGTTTGGGACACTTTTTTTATCTTCTGTTTTATCTCTCATATTTTTCCCTAATAGCCGCACATTGAGGCTGTGGTGAGGTTAAATTCCATGAATGATGGATTTACTTTACCTCTCACTGTAGAAAGCATAAGTTTTCCCAGTGGAAATTATTGCATTCTTTGTCTATGACCTTTGCAGTGTGCAGCTATCTTCAGCATTGCTTATAGGAAGTATTGTCCCAATTTGGGAAATTGGAAATAGTTTGGAAGGATATGCCTCTAATACAAAGTAAACCAAAGACAATTAACCAAAATGTTTAATTGTTTTTCTACCTCATAATAGGATTCTTTGAAAAGGGGGGAAGATGAATAATACCCAGAAAAGAAAAATCCTGAGATTTGTTTCCATAATTACTTAGAATTTAATTTTTAATGGATCGGTTAATGGTGTTAGGAAATTAAGTGAATTCTGTACAGATTTTCAAAGATGTGAATATACAATATACACTTAAGGAACATTCTTTTAAGCCCTCTCAGCCATACTAAGGAGGGAATGAAAATTACTCAGTTGATCTACCACTTTTAAACATTCTGTCGTTGCTCACTTGAATCATTGGAGGATATTATCTTTAAAACTTAAAAAGTAAAGATAATGTCTGTAATAAACCACTAATATTCTTAGTATATATCATTTGTAATCTTTATATGTGGGAATTGCATCTTGAAAGATGATAGTTACTAATTTTTTCCCTCTGAATGTTAGCTACAGAAGTGAAGATTCCAAAACCAAGAGGCAGACCCAAAATGGTAAAACAGCCTTGTCCTTCAGAGAGTGACATGTGAGTTTATTTTTAATGTATAGTTAGTTACACACTGAATGAGGTATTTGACTTTAAGTATAAATCTCTTTGTATTTGTATCAGTTTTATTAGGATATCTGCTGTTACTATTTTGTATTTCTAAAAATTATGGGGAAAAACTATTGAAAAGTTTTTTGTTGTGTAGAAAGTAAAAATTGATGGGGAATCAAGAAAAATATGATGAGGGGCGCCTGGATGGCTCAAGTCAATTAAATGTCTGACTCTTAATTTCAGCTCAGATCTTGATCTCAGGGTCCTGAATTCAGGCTCCCCATTGAGCTCCATGCTGGGCCTAGTACCTACTTTACAAAAAATCTGATGTGATCATCATTTCCTTAATCTAAGATGTCTTCTTGGTATATCAGGATATAAAGATACTTAGATAATACAGGGTAAAATCTGCAATAGAGAAATTGGGCAAGGTATATGTTTAAGGAAGGTTTAGACAAAGTATTTTTGAGGCAATTTCCACAAATCTTTTCTAGCTCCTTCAAAATAACTTTAAAAAAAAATAAGGGGGAGGGGCATCTGGGTGGTGCAGTCCCTTAAGCATCTGACTCTTGGTTTGCACTTAGGTCGTGATCTTGGGGTTGTGAGATCAGATCGAGCCTGCCGTCTGGCTCTATGAGCAAGGAGTCGGCTTAAGACTCTCTCTCTCTCTCCCCCTCCCTCCTCCCCGCCCCACCACCCCAGGCATGCTCTTTCAAATAAATCTTTAAAAAAAAAAATACTAAGGGGCACCTGGCTGACTCAGTCGGTAGAGCATGTGACTCTTGATCTCAGGGCTCTGAGTTCAAGCACCACATTGGACATAGAGATTACTTAAAAAAAAATTACTAAATTATTTTTGAAATGTGAATTTAAAATTTTAAAGTATTTTGGTATAGCTGCTTAATCAACAATGTGGTTTTTTTTCTTGCCTCCTTTCTTTTCCACAGATGGATATTGTGGTTTTTTTTTTATTTATTAACATAGAGTGTATTATTTGTTTCAGGGGTACAGGTCTATGATTCATTAGTCTTTTTTTTTTTTTAAGATTTTTTTTTTTGACAGAGCTAGCGAGAGCAGGAAGAGCGGCAGGCAGAGGGAGAGGGAGAAGCAGGCTTCCCGCAGAGCAGGGAGCCCAACGCGGGGCTCCATCCCAGGACCCCAGGATCACAACCTGAGCCGAAGGCAGACACTTTACGACTGAGCCACCCAGGAGCCCCTGTGATTCATCAGTCTTACACAATTCACAGCGCTCACCATAGCACATACCCTCCCCAGTGTCCATCACCCAGCCACCCCATCCCTCCCACCCCCCTCCACTCCAGCAACCCTCAGTTTGTTTCCTGAGATTAAGAGTCTTTTATGGTTTGTCTCCCTCTCTGGTTTCATCTTGTTTCATTTTTCCCTCCCTTCCCCTATGATCCTCTGTCTTGTATCTCAAATTCCTCATATCAGTGAGATCATATGATACTTGTCTTTCTCTGACTTATTTTGCTTAGCATAATACTCTCTAGTTCCATCCACATCGTTGCAACACAGATGGGTATTGTTTATGTGGCTTTTCTGGGTAGAAACTTCACCAGGAAGGAGAGAATGTATATTTAGAGAAAGGGCAAAACTCTTTTTAGCTATTGTGTTTAAAGATTTTATAGAGAAGGCTCAAGCAAGTAGGTCATTTAAGAGGGGATTTACAGTGTTTTGAATGAAACATTTTTATAGGAGATTTTAGTTACAGAACACTGAAGCATTGGTACTTTTCAACTTTTTTTAAGTTTTATTTTACTGCCAAGCTAGCTTTTAAAGTATTCTGAAATATAGTGGCACAGAATTACAACATGGTTTTAACTACTGTAGTGAAATTAAGAAGTTAGGTACATGCAGGTGAGGGTTTTTTGTTTTGTTTTTTTTTTTTTGACATACCAGATAGGGGCGCCTGGGTGGCTCAGTTGCTTAAGCCTCTGCCTTTGGCTCAGGTCATCCCAGGATCTAGTCCCACATCGTGCTCCCTACTCAGCAGGGAGTCTGTTTCTCCCTCTCCCTCTGCTCCTCCCCCGCCTCCCCTCCCACCGTGCGTTCTCGCGTGCGTGCTCTCTCACTCTCCTCCTCTCTCAAATAAATAAAAATTTTTAAAAGGATTTTTAAAAAACTAAAAAAACAAAACACCAAATAGCTCTCACTCATACCCTGCCTAATCTAATCGTGACATCATGCATAAAGTCTAGGATTTCATGATTGCTATAAGGCCCTGATCTGGAGTCTTAGGAACTGAAAGCACCAGTTATCTGCACCCCTCTCCCCTTTTTATCACACACCTACATCTAGGATAGGGAGCCAGAAGAACTAAATGCTCCTATTTGGAAAGGGGAATGTCTTTGTTCCCTAAGAAATCTAGAATTCTGGAAAATATTGTGAGATCTCCCTATTTCATGTATAAGGAAGGTTCCCTTGATTAGGCCCCAGTTTGTCTTACTCTAAACCATTTCTCTTCATGGCTTTTAGCTAATCTTGTGACAGTTGTCTACTTTTCAGTATCCTTCTTAGTTGTATCTGAAAAGGTCAATGGAAAATATCCTCATCAGCTGGGTGGTATTGTGTCTGCTTTCAGGCTATAGGGTGTTGGGGACCCAAGGTTCCTTTTTTGATCTCCATTAATTTCTCTTGATGGAGGCTGTGTTACTTGCGGTAATAATAATACTTTATGGCCTGTGGGTGTGTTTTAGTCAACTTCATGCCCAGTGGTCTTTTCGTAGGATTTTCTCAGACTTGCTTTTTTAAAAATTCCCCCCCCCGCCCCCCCGACATGCTTATCTTATTATATACTTAATTTACACTCCCATTAGTTTATAGGTTTTCATGAGAACCCCTTGGTCCTCTTCCCTAGAAACTGTTCATCTGAAGGACCAAGGTAGCCCAATTTGAATTACTAAAGAAAGGCTGGCAGTTTATACCTTTGATGGATCTTTGACCCCAGTCTTTTTCTGAATTTGAAAATTTTTTACAAGATGGAGGGGACTTTCAACACTGAAATGCATGGAATTTTTAGGTTCTTTTGTCATTTTGCTCTTTTTTAAACTTGTTTCTTTCTTAAAGTGCCCTATTTATCCTGCTAACAACCCACTCAAGATGCTAGCATTCTATCTTGAAGCCTTTTCACCCACAGCCACTGAATTTTCTTTCACATTATCGCAGGTGACCGGTTACCCATTGTATGAAAATATATTAGGATTTTCCATTTCTCAGCCCCAAAGTCAGTGTCACATGTTTAAAGTTTTTACATAAATGTCTGTATCCATGTTATATGTAGGTTTGGCATCGGCCATGGCTATTCTCAGCCATATATACCTGAGCACAAACTCTGGAGTACAGAGCTAAACTATAGAAGCCCTTCTGAAAGTTTTGCTCTCCACCTTGAGAACAGGATGTATGTGTTAGTGATAGCTTTTTTGCAGTGAGTCCTGAAATGACAACATAGTGGAATAGAGCCCAGAAAAGCTGAAACCATCTCATAATCCGCATGTAAAGTAAGAAATATTTGATACAAGCCACTGAGATATTTGGAGTTGTATTTGCATTAGTTGTTGCTTATGTTAACATACTTTTAACTGTTTACTAAGAGTTTCCTACTGTGCCTTCACCTATTAAAAAGGGAAATTGTCACTATGGAGAAGTCTGTTTTTCATGAAGGACCACTGGGAAAATACTTGTTTGTAGCAAGCCATGCTAGTTAAGTCTGTGGCAGTCTGCTTTGCTATTGTTCAAAAGCCTTTGAAATACTAATCCCATCTCTTATGACCTTGTGGTACACTTCTTAATCTATGTTTAATAATTTTTAAAAAGCTGCATGGTATTCCACTGTATGTACAATTCTTAACATCTGTCTCAGGTATGGGTACATCCTTTTAAAAACACTGTCATCTATTCTGTACATGTGCAGATATACTGATTAGAATACATTGCTGGAAGCAGATTTGCTAGTTCAGAGGGTATTTGGATTTTTAATATCTGCTTCCACTGAGGGGATATTTTGGGCGAGGAATTGGTCAGTATCTCTTTAGAGCCATGGAAATGCTTTCTACATTTGACTTGGTATTCTCATCTCCATGAAATTATCAAAATACTCACATTTGTGAAAATATTGAAGAAAGTTAAAATGATTTTACATGCATGCCTTTTCTATCGATTAGAAATTAACGAGGAAACCCATGTGACATTTGAAAATAAACATAGCCAATGATGGTTATGTGACGAGGAAATTTCTAAAGAGATTAAAGAATCAATTTTTTTCTCTTCCAATTTAATAATCTCTTAAAGGTTCAAGGAAGCAGTTGTCTGGTAGGCGGTCCCTGGATTTGGAACCGAGATACTGGGCTAATTATTTGACCTTTCACACCATCATTTTCTCCTTCGTCAAATGGAATGGGTTGGACTAACGATCTGAAGTCTCTTCCACCTCTCAGATCCATTGATATAATTGTATAGTCTTCGCAAATCTCAGTGAAATTACTAGATTGGTAAAAAGATTAATTTTTTAAACAGCTTGTCCAAGCTTCAAGTTGTATTTTTTTTTTTATGGGGTGGCTTTAGTTGAACGTATATACCATGAAAGTAATTATATGGTCAGCATTGACATCATTTGGTTCTCCTAGATCCTGTCATCATACCATAAATACTTGTATTTATTTCTGCTGTACTAGTTATCATAAAGATCATCCCATAGTAACATTAGGCTTACTGAGCAATTTTGGTAGTTTTGACTTAGGTCTGTAATTCCATTGGTGATGGGAATGCTTAGTGCTAGTGAATTCAGCACTGTTACATATTATGCTTAATTACCATATCATTGTATGCATAAGTTGGGAGCCTTTTACCTTGCAAAGTATTTCTTTGAGTTCTAAAGTGATCATATTTGATCATAAGCAGTTCCCTTCTGCAATTGTATTTTTCCCCATCTGTGTACTTTTGAAACATGTTATTCTTACAGTTATGTAGAATAGAAGGTCCGGGTGTCTCACCCATCTTCTGTATTGCCGCACCCCATGGTGAAGAATTACCTTGGCACGTAAGATCATACTAGGTAATTTTGTCAGCAAATACATAACATTACAAAAAGCTTGGAAAACGGAAAAAATCACTTTTTTATTACCCTAGTGCCACTGTAATTTTTATATTTTCTAATTTATGTGAAAAGGATATTCCTTTTTCCTTTTATGATTGGATGGTAAAGACATTTCATTATATTTTACTAGAAGATACGTTAAATTTGTCTTTAAGTAAAAATTTATTGCTTCCTGTTAGCTGGTTAGGAGAGTATGGTTAAAAGACAGCTACTAATGATACCTAAAAAATCATTTTCCATTGCTATATTCTCTAAAATAGGGTAGCTGAAGAAGACAAAAGTAAGAAAAAGGGGCAAGAAGAAAAACAACCTAAAAAGCAGCTTAAAAAGGACGAAGACGGCCAGAAGGAAGAAGATAAACCAAGAAAAGAGCCAGACAAAAAGGAAGGGAAGAAAGAAGTTGAATCCAAAAGAAAAAATTTAGCTAAAACAGGGGTCACATCAACCTCTGATTCTGAAGAGGAAGGAGATGATCAAGAAAGTGAAAAGGTACAGTGTTTATCAAGGAAAATATTTGTTCTATTTTTAGTTGCCTATGTAGTTATTATTTTTTACCTAGCAAGCTTTCAGTACCTCAAAGTATGAGTGTGATTAAAACTGAGTTTCTCTACCTTTGTAAGCTTGAACTAGCTGTTCTAAAAAGCGTATTTGAAACTTTATTGGACATTCTAAATCTGTCACCTTTTCACAGTTATAATGTGGAAATCAAATGTTATATAATAAACTTCCAGTAACCCACCTATCTAGAAAAGTAGAAATTAAGCCAAATGGACTGTGACCAGTGAAGACAGATATAAAAGAGATGCATTTATACATTTTTATTATTTACTACAATGAAATTCTTTGCACTTTTCAGGCCTATTTAGTGTACATTTTATCAGTGGTATTTTATTTGAGTGCCACAGTTGTTTAGGAATTTGATTAAAGCTATACATCTTTTTATATAGAGAAACACAAGTATAGTGTATAGCCTTGGAGATCTGCAGACCCAGGTCATGTATCTTTGTTTTTGTTTTTTTTTTCTTATTTCTTAATACTTTCTTTAGAAGCAAAAATTTTTAATTGGATAGCTTGAGCAATGTACTTGCTTGAGCAAAGTAACCAGGTACTTGTGAGTAAACAAACAGGTCAGAACCATAGTATAGAGAACCATAGTAGAGCGGCAAATAGCCTGACATACTTTTATTCCCCGAGTCATCGAGGGCAAGTTCAGATGGCAACATGTATAATTCTGAGATTTTTTAAGTATTGGTTGCTTTTTTTCCTCCCAAGATTGTAATCCTAGAAGCACTTGTCCCTGACTTGGTAGTTAACTAAATTTCATCCTAATTCTCAAAACAGAAGAGAAAAGGTGGAAGGAACTTTCAAAATCCTCATAGAAGGAATATGCTGAAAGGCCAGCATGAGAAAGAAGCAGCAGATAGAAAACGCAAGCAAGAGGAACAGATGGAAACTGAGCAGTAAGTATTTTTTATTCTAAATTTTGATTTCCTTTTTAAGCTAGCATGAAATTTTTAAATGACAGAATCTTGTTTTCCGGACCATATGAAGCCTTTTAGAGAAAGTGACTTTTCCCAGGTGTTAGAAAAAAAATCTTCCTTACATGATGATAATCAGGTTTTAGGCTTCATTCTTTGCTGAGTAAGAGGATGAAATTCACTGAGGTACTCACTCTGTGAATTATTTTTAATTTAAAGTGAAAGTGCAGATAGGATTTAACGGTTAGTGGCTTTGCTAAAAATGTCCTCATCCTCTGCTGTTCAGTTGTTAAGTATTCAGTACAGAAGAGTGGTGATACTATGTTGGTGGAGAAAGAATTAAATATCCTTATTTGTCACATACCACCAGCAGGCCACTCCCAAAAGACCAGCCAAAACAATAGCACAGTTGTAGACCCAAGAAGGCCGGTAAATCTGAAGGCTGACAGGGTTTGCATTAAGTGTGTGTAATATAAATCAAGGTCAAAGCTGATTGAAGTTGTGATACCTGGAGACAGTATATACAGACCATGGGGAATTTCTTTCCCCTTCAGTTTTATTCTATAAAGTAGTTTTATTAGAAGGAAAATCGCACTGGTGATGATTACACTTCATGTGCTTATATTACATTTGTTTGTCTAGTTATCTTGAGACTGTCACTTCCAAATTCTTTCTTTGAAAAGCGTTTTGTGAAGCATCTTGCATTATTCTCACTAAACTTGGGGGTTTTTTTTGTTAATGGAGGTGATTTTAAACACATGCTGTAGGTCACTAAGACAAACTTAATGATAAGTAGTGAATTCTTTAAGTAATTTTGTACTTTTTCTTTATAAAATACATTTGTAAGCCAAAAGTCTCTCTACAAGTATAGCATTTGACTATTCTGCTTTCTTAGTTGTTTGGAGGATGATTATATAAGCAGTTTCATCTGCTTGAGGGGAGTAATTTAAAAATTGATCTAAAGCTCAAAAATGTTACTCCCTCTATTCTGTTAGACTTTTGACCATTTCTGTAAATTAATTTTTTGTTACCTATCCTTTCCTATCCTTTCACTGAAAAGTTGTTGGACTGTTTGTTGCTTTTAACTTTATTGTGCTCCCCAAATTAGGATATAAAATTAGTCGTTGCTTAGTAAATCTAGCCCCAACCCTTCTTCAGTATCTCAAAGTTATCTTTGTGTTTCAGTTTCTTTTTGAATGTCCTCCGAATGTAACTTTCTCAAATTCTAATATTTGTGTTTTCTTTCCTTCTCCTGTTATTACAAAACTTTGTACTTGGACAGTTTTGCTCTGTAAAGCATTTCAGATGCAGCTTGTGTGAAGTGCATTATGCAAAATAAAGTTTATTGTATTGTATTCCCAGCCAAACAACATGTAATCTACAGTAATAAAAAATATATCTCATTTTGGGCTCAAAGCATTAATCCAGTTACTGAAAAGAGAATACAAGTGGAGCAAACAAGAGATGAAGATCTTGAGACAGACTCATTGGACTGAATTTCCCCCTCCCCCCCCTTGATGGAAGAATGTTGCAGATTCTAAATTGAGGACTTCATTAATGGCATTATTACTGTGTTATGATTGTTAAAAAAAAAAAAAAATTCCTGTAAGGTACACACTACATACTAAGGTCGGCCATCATTCCTGTTAAAGTTTTTTTTTACCAAGCTTAAGATGAAGCTTTGTGTTTGAAAGTTAGAAGATGGTGGTTGTACATTATTTCATTTAGAAAATATAAAAATTCATTTTGTTTTGAAGCTAGGTGTTAAACTGGAATAGCTCTTTATACCCCAGAGAATGGGGCAGTTGTGCCCTTCCCTTGACTTCCTTTGTTGTTTAATTCTTTAGAATCTTGTTTTTTTTAATCCTGAGAGATTAAACAGTAGACTTGTTAAGAAAACAAAAATGAAACTGTAACCAAAATTTTAAAATAAAGTTTTTTTAAAAAAAAAAACCTGATTTTTAGATATTGTTTTGTTCTTGTCTATTTCAATTGGTTTATAATAGGGCCCGAACTCAAAGCCAAGGTACTAGAAATTAAGAACTCATTTTTAAATGGTTATTTTTGTGATTTGCAGTAAAATGGTACCTTTTCTTTTGTGAAATGGTATGTAAATGTCAGTGAATATCAGTGAATGTCATTTAAGTTTGATATATTGGCCAAAAATATCCATTTTAATACAATAGTATCATCTTTGAACAGTCTGTTTAACCTAGAAACTTAACCCCTCCAATTATCTACCCTTTTGGAGATGTGGGAAAAATTAGTGTTTTTGACACGCTACCTTTAAAAATAATTGTGATGTAGAACTCATGAAGTGTTTATAGGCATTCTTTTTCCCACTATGGTCTGCTTGTCCATTGACCCTGAAATTGGGTCTTTAACACTATGTACTGTTGGAAAAAAATTTCACCATGACAAGTGTTAAAATTATTTGTGATGCCACTGAAAAATTAGATTTTAGCATGTTAATTTTTACATGTGTTTTTAGGAATTAATACTAATGCTGTGGCATTCCAGAGTTCTATGAATTACAGTCAATTCCTTATGACCTAGGCTATTGATTTTCTGTCTTAAAAAAATTTTTAGCTAAGGGATTGTGGGCATTTGGTAATCAGTCACAAAGTTCCAATGTTTTGAAATATTTGTGTTAACATTTGATAGGCAGAATAAAGATGAAGGAAAGAAGCCAGAAGTTAAGAAAGTGGAGAAGAAGCGAGGTTAGTTATTTCACTTTCTAAGATGTTTAAATTAATAGAAAGGAAATTATACCCTTAATTTTTCATGTATAGGTCTTAAAATCAGTCATTTTATGTTCTTAAATCCTACAAAAGTGTTTTTTCAAATCCCTAATGAATTCTGTATACATTATATTTTGATTAGGTGCACTTGCTAAGGACTCAGGCTTAGTTTTAAGCTTAGTTGCTCATTATCTAACAGTCACATTTTTGTAACATTGCCAAAAGCTAGGTATTTTCCCATTTTTGACAAATCTTATGGTTTCAGATAAGAGTTTCTGTTTCTGGTCACATGTGTAAGTAAGGTAAAACAGCTGTTTAAGGATTGGAATAGAGGGGTTTATTAATTGGATACAGACTGCTTATTTTAGAAACCTATGTAGCTAGATGGTGATTTTTTTCTTCAAATGATGAATGTTGTTTTCCTAAATACTTAAAATGGCAAATAACTTCTTGGTGAACTAGGCAGATTATGAAGAACATTTTTAAAAATTCAAATCTTGTCATTGTGCTTTGCCTATTAGATTTATACAGAAATACTGATTTTGGAAAAACTATTTACTGTGTTTCAAATTTTAATTTATAGAAACATCAATGGATTCTCGACTTCAAAGGATACATGCTGAAATTAAAAATTCACTCAAAATTGATAATCTTGTAAGTCTTTAAATACCTCATTTAAAAATATAGTACTCCTTTTATTGCTTCATATTTTTTTCTCATGTTTTTATATGTATGTGTAAATTTAAGAAAAATGGGACTATTACTGGTCCTTTTGTACTGCCTTGAGATTTTAAAAGTAATCTTTAGGACTAGATCTTATAGGGTGTGGTGATTAACAGCTATGAAATTACTGTCTTGTCATGAAGGATGTGAACAGATGTATTGAGGCCTTGGATGAACTTGCTTCACTTCAGGTCACAATGCAGCAAGCTCAGAAGCACACAGAAATGATTACAACACTGAAAAAAGTAAGTGATCCGGAGTCGTGCAGAGTGTGAAAATTTCCTCATCAACAGTTCATTAAGTACCATTTTACAAATCAGTGAAGAAAACAATTGTGAGTGTCTATTTTGTTTTCTCAGATACGGCGATTCAAAGTTAGTCAGGTTATCATGGAAAAGTCTACAATGCTGTATAACAAGTTTAAGAATATGTTTTTGGTTGGTGAAGGAGATTCTGTGATCACACAAGTGCTGAATAAATCTCTTGCCGAACAAAGACAGCATGAGGAAGCAAATAAAACCAAAGATCAAGGGAAGAAAGGGCCAAACAAAAAGCTAGAAAAGGAACAAACAGGTATGTGATAATAAGTTGTTTGCTGGGACCGCTTTTAAATGGCTTTGACGTATAATTTCATTAATACCTTATCTAAGGTTTCATAAAGCACTTAGAAAAAACAGAAGCTTAAGGTTGAGCATTTCTGTTTAAATCATTTATAATCAAGCTTAAATTAGCAGTTGCTGTTCTCTTTTCACTTAAATGAAGAATAATTTCTGACAATAGTAGACAAGAAAGGAACTTCCCATGTTCAGTTATCAGTAAATGATTGTTGCTCTGTTTTACCCTTATCAGGTTTCTCTGTGAAGCAAATTCCAGATACGCTATTTCAACCACAAATATGTTAGGATGTATCTGTGATGGATTCTTACATAGAACACAGTGTCATTATCAGCTCCCCCAATTCCATGTTATTAAATGTCTTTAGGAGCTGGATATTTTATTAGGGAATGATGATATAGGTCTCCTTAGAGATTTCTTAGAAATAAGATTTACAGGGATGCCCTCCTCATTTACTTAGGTTAGGTAGGACACAAAATCGTGTTAATTAAGAATAGTACTTTTGACACTTTGTTGTAAAATACCAAGGAAAGATATAAAATTTTACTATGATGCACATTTTTATAAGAAAGGGAATGACCAGATTAAGTGCCCCCCCCCCCCCGCTTTTTTGGCGCCTTGGTTGAATGTCCAACTATTGATTTCGGCTCAGGTCATGATCTCAAGATTGTGAGATGGAGCACGGTGTCTACTTGAGATCCTCTCTTCTCTGCCCCTCCCCCCCCGCTTGTACACACTCTCTAAAATCTTTAAAAGCCCCCCTTTCTTGTACCCATATATAGTAACCCTGCTATTTAGTGTGCCTCAGCTACCCAAAAAGATTACAGTGTAATTTCAAATAAGGTGTATTAAGTATTAGAAACTTTAGGGCCATATTTTATTTTTTATTTTGGCTCTTTAGAGGACATCTTAAAGTACTAGAAGCTCTAACAGTTTTTCCATTGGAACCTTTTTAAAGGTTCAAAGACTCTAAATGGAGGCTCCGATGCTCAAGACGGTAATCAACCACAACATAATGGAGACAGCAGTGAGGAAAGCAAAGACAACCACGAGGCCAGCAGTAAGAAAAAGTGAGGACATGTTTTAATGGGTCATGTATATTTTTAATTTTTAAATCACATTGCTGTTCCACGGTTATTTGTATAGGATTGTATTTTGATCACTCAATTCCTGAACTCAGGAAGCAAGATACAAATCAGAAAGGCAAAAAGCAAAAAACTTCATAATTTACATTTAACTTGCCTGTAGTCAAAGGGAATAGAGCTAGATAGTAGGAATCCAGTTTAAAATAACTTCATCTTTGGACTTCACTGATAACAGCTTTAATAGTGATTTACATTCATACTGTCTTGCATTGTGACAGGGTAATACAAAAATGAGATCTAGAATCACAGGCTGTTTTGTATTATAGCCTCTAAATAACTAGTTATTGGACTGTAGTTACCCAAGTCTTGGTTTGTTCTGCTGCACGTTTGAAGGACTTGGAATCAAGCATCCCTTCTAATTCTGAAATTCAGGGAAATCTTATGTGTGTTTCTGTCATCCCCTCTCCTTATTAAGGTTTGTAATATGTTGGTATCACAGATATAACCTTTTCATGTTTTTAAAGGGAATTCATTTTAAAGCTGGAAATGATGGAAAGGGCCTGAGCCATGATGCTTCCCTGAGTTAATTTGCTTGATCTGAATATTACTTTAGGAAGAAGATACAACATGGAAAATTAAATTTTGACCAAAAAGTCAGGATTTTTAAAAATAATCTGATATTATTTTTTTAAAAATAAAAACAATGCACGGATTTAATGTGTTTTCTGACCCTCATGAAGGAGAAAAGCCCCTAATCCCAGTTGACACACCTTTCTTTCCTTCCTTTAGGCCATCCAGTGAAGAGAGAGAGCCTGAAATATCTCTGAAGGATTCTACACTAGATAATTAGGTTGACATACCTGGAATATAAAGAACATTTGAAGAGTTTGTAATGGTTTTCATTTGAAATATTTAGACTGCTGAAAGTTTTAAATTTTTATAAGCATAGGTTTTGATGTTGAAAACTTGTTTTGAGGGAGAAAAATCCCTTTATATTTGTTTAAAAGTAATTAAACATTATTGCTAATTGTACTTGTGCAGTATTAACAGCTACATTATTCAGTAAATGTGAGGGAAAACCCATTTAGGAAATGTTAAACTGCTTTTCCAGACATTTGGTTGTAGCATAATTTCAATTAGTGTGTGTATGTTAATGTGTAATTGATAGTAGAAAAAAGTTACATTTTTAAAACCGCTACTTGTATAAACCTTTCCTCTTTTCCCAAATACTGTGGGTTTTGTGCATAGTTTTTACAAACCTTGGATTTACCAGACTGTCTTTTCACTGTTTGTGGGTTTTGTAGAAGTTACGCATTTTTATGGTAGATAAAATGTTACTTCTATACAAGTACTCACTCCTTTTATCAAAAGTTAATTTTAATCTCACAGTCTACATTGTGCTACATCATCCTGCTGCTTTGTAACAATTTGTGGTCTGTATGCCTTTTTGTATGACAACTAGAGATATCCAACTGACAGTTCTACAAGGTACAAAACTCATGTTAACTTTTGAAGGTAACTTAGATTTATAGCTGGGAATTCAGTGAGGTCACGTGACTTTTCTACAGAAAGCAGAAGGGGTATGTTTAGGAATGAATCTGGCTTTAGGGTTCAACCATCTGAGATCCTTTACAGGCACTAGTAGCTGAAACTAAAAACTAAATGATAAAAGTTTATTTTTGAGAACTGTCTCGCGTTTCTGAATTTTTAAAAAGTCACTCATTAAGGAAGTCAAAGTATTTTTTTAATTGGGGAAAAAAATTCCATGATTCTTATGCAGTAAATAGTAGAAGTAAATGCTATATAAGTAAAACTAACCTATTTGAAAACATGGCTCTATCAGAAGGGGTTCTTAGAGATCCTCCATGTGACAGAATTGTAAGTAGAAAATATGTATGTTGCTCCGAGGCAGTTAAAGGAGTACTTTGGTAGTCTGTATATTCATATATATGGACTAAATCAGGGTAAACCAAGGTTAACAAAATTTAAGGGTAACTTAACAGCATTTTTAAGATATTTTGATTATTAGGTCAGTTGGTGGTTTCAGTAGCTTAAAAGACTTCTCATGTTTTGAAAATATGAATACGGAGAACAGGCTTAATACCAGTGTTTGCATGTGACATGCATTGTATGTTTTGACCTCTCAGATAATGGTTTTCATCTATAAATGGATAGTTTGAATTATTTCAGTAATTGGAGTTTTGCTTTTTGAGAGGTCTTACAATGGAACTGGGACCTACTGTTTTGAGGGAACTATATTGATACTACATTATATCTGGTCCTTAATACAATTTAAATTTGGACTTACTCTAGTTAAGCCATAAGTGTCAACATTGTAAACTTGTTTTGATTAAAGGATTTTTCTATCAAACTCTACTAGTAAATTAATTCTTTGCTATTTACAAAAGTGTTTTTGGAATTCTGGATTTGCTTCCAAGGGAGTAATTTCTTGGTTAGCTTGGTACAGAGATTGTGTTGTCTGGGGAGATAAGACAGGGTAACTAAATATTGTTATTTTTCTGTTCACCCTCCTCTTTTATTCTATAACCCAACAGAGCAATATAGTTTACTAAGAAACCACAGAATATTCGACTTCAGGATATATATATAGCAGCATTCTGATAATTTATGTATGGTTGGTTTGTTTGGGCTGGCCTTGCTTGAAACAGTTGATTAATATAGTGTGAAAATATATAACTGGCCTTCCATTTTCTGTTGGGTCATAAGCTAATTCACAGGTAACTACCGCTCTCCAAACTCTTAAAAAGTCATAAATACTAAACTTTCAGGAGCATTTGCTCCATTTAAATTGTGTATTTGATCAAAACTCCACTGCTGAACAAGTCACTAAGATAATTTAAACGAAATAGCTAGCAAAAGAGATATTTTCTTTTGGGGGGGGCATGTATAAACCACCTATTTTGTGCTATTTAAACCTACTGGCTAACATTTAAAAGAGTAAGCAATGCGTGGCCCTGCAGAATGAATTGTTGGAAGCCTTCTTAGCTGCTCTGGAGATTACAGAGGTGTCATCTGAACTGGAGGGAAACTGTATGAACAACTTGACGATCTTAACCTTCGATTACATCCTGCAGTTTCAAATAGGATGATCTTTTTTACCCAGTTTTTGCTGATACACTGCTTGTAGAGTACCTGCACACACACTCACCTGATGTCTTCGAAGAGGTCAAGTCAAGATGAGGTCTGCCAACTAATCCTATATAAGAGCAAAGGCTTACAAGGCTCTGTGAGGGCTTCACTAACACCTTATTTTGTCCCATTGGCCAGAGAAAGGGTGATCTATTGGAAATAGCAAACCCATAATTACAAACCTTAAGAAATGAAGTTGCTATATAGGTAGAAATGTTTTCATATTTGTGCTATGGAATTCTCTAACCGTAGAGATAATAAAGACATTATGATTTTATTAGGAGAAGGTAAAATTATCCTTACCGGGATACCAAAGGCTGAAAAAGATACCTAAAGAAACGGGTATTGCTTTTCTGAATAGTGCTTTTTGTGCATGTTCATCCATTATTCTATCAAAATCTCATTTCTAACTACAGAGGATGCTGATTTATAAGTTCATTACCATATTTGCTTTTCATTAGATAAAATGACATAATTTAGGTCATGTTTAATACTGAAATTTACAGCTATAAAATACTTAATTCAAGACCTCTTTCAGGCCTGTTTTAAACTTGGAAGGTCTTTTGACCTGAATTTGGTGGGACACCTGTATAAGTGATAAATATGGGCAAAACTTCTGGGAGTGACTAGGTTAGTCTTTCTTCCTCTAGATTTCACAAGGGGAAATGATAACACAAAGACATCAGAGCCTTCGTAACTTTGCTGGAAAAGTTACTACCCTCAAGAACCAGAAGAATGAGATTCTTAAATGATAAAATAAGGGATGCCTGGGTGGCTCAGTCAGTTAAGCGTCCGCCTTTGGCTCAGATCATGATCCCAGGGGGTCCCGAGATCGAGCCCCGCATTGGGCTCCTTGCTCAGCAGGGAGCCTGTGCTTCTCCCTGTTCCTGCCATTCCCCCTGCTTGTGCGTGCTCTGTCTCTGACAAATCAAATCTTTAAATTAAAAAAAAATGATAGAATTTCACTAGCAGTAATGTTTTAATTGATAGTCTTTCTTCTTTGTCCACTAAAATGAATTGATCACACGTGGACTAATGCTTTTGTTAGTACAGTGCACGTTTTGGAATTTGCTGTTTTGAGACTATGAAATGAAAATGAATCAAAGTAAAACCTAAACATACTACACTATATATTAACTAAGTAGAATTTAATTTGGAGAGAAAAAAAAAAAGACCCTTGCATACTAATGCAAGACCTACAAGGAATACAGTTTAAAAATGAAGCAGGGGGTGCCTGGGTGGCTCCGTCAGTTGAGTGTCCAACTCTTGATTTTGGCTCAGGTCATGCTCTCGGGGTCATGGAATTGCATTCTGTGTTGGAATCAGTCTGCTTAGGATTCTCTCCCTCTGCCCCTCTCCCCACACGCTCGCTCGCTAAAGAAAAAAAAATCTTTTAAAAAGCAGAAATACATTTTTACCTGTAGAACTTATAGGAATTGGGTAAACATGGTTTTCTAGCAGAATTTTTAATCTGTTCAATTTAGCATCATTGGAAACACAAAAGTAAAAATTTAGACAGTAACATAAGCCAGCCAGGAGAGACACCTCTTCTTTTTACTGATCCTCCGGTGTATTTACTGAATCAGTGAATGAGACCATCACTACACATACCAGAAACAGGTGCTTGTCCTCAGCACACCAATCAACTTAATTGGATATGTAATCTAAGTCCATAAAATATTTCACTGCCAAGCTTTTAAACATACAGGCTTAAAGGCTTCATCAGTTTTTGATTTGTATGGTAAATGTCTGTTCTTAGCCATCCAGGGAATGTGGAACTCAGCTGAATTTAAGTAAATAACCTAGGAGAGAGAAAGTGGAATTTAAATAATGACACATCTAAAAGGAATTATTTTACAGCATTCTTAAAAGTCTTAAAACTAAATTTTCCACCAAAAAAGATTTGGGGAAAACATTTCAATATAGATAGCTGTAATTTTCTGTGATGATCTAGACCTTAGAATTCATCTAAGGTGTCCTTTTGCCCAGAATGAGAGAAGTGAATAAACAGGGTTGTCAGGGTGAGGGAGCTGGAGGAATGGAAGAGTTGGGCCAGAAAAACTCTTGTTTTTGCATATAGAATACTGGGTGTTATTGTGCAAGAATGAGTGAACCAGAGCTAGCAATCCACACGATCTTGACTTCCCCATGTCCCAGTGGTCCTGTTTTTTTTTCTTCCTTTTTAAGATTTTTAAGTAATCTCTACACCCAGTGTGGGGCTCAAACTTAAAACCCTGAGATCAAGAGTTGCATGCTCTACCAACTGAGCCAGCCAGGTGCCCCAAAATCTATTTTCTTAATTATAAAATTAAACTGAAAAAGTTCTCATCAAGAAATGAATCTTCAATTTAAACATTACTTTTGTGAAGGTATGAGTCTATATATACTGAAAGATCTTTTTACATTCATTATTCATGCAGTGAGTCTCATTAAAATGATTAGTATGCTTGCTACTTTCTACCAAAAACAAAACCTAGTATTACAAAAGAGCCCACCGTGGGATTAGATTACAAAATAGCTATTCTTAATACTGTATTTGTTAAATCTACTTTTATTCTTCTCCCTCATTTTTATCACAGATACTTAAAGGATCTTTACCTTGGAAGCCTCATGGTTACAAGGTATAGCGCTCACATTCTTCAAAGAATTTTCAAAACACTTCCACCAGCTGATGTATGATTAACTGAATTTTTCTAACTATAGCAAAAAGTACTGTGGACACAGAATGATTAGGCAAGCCACAGACTGGCTAAAAACCAGAATACTTGAATCTGACAGGATTTGTATTCAAAAAAATATAAAGTACTCCTACAACTTAGTACGATAAACACACTTAAAAATGGGCAAACACACTAAATAAAAAGCCCATTTTGAAATAAATACTAAAAGATTTCTAAACACAAGTTACTTTATAAGAAAACCTGTGATTTAAAAAAAAAAAAAAACCTGTGATGTGTACTTTTGCAGGGGTGTGGGTAACTAGCTGATTATTTCAGGTGGATCCTGTTCCTCAGTGGCATGTTCTGGAAATAAAGTAACCATCCAAGAGGACAGTAACTTCACAAGGTACATTTTTTGT